TTTGAAATAGGTAAATGTCGAATTAGGTATAGACGAAGTACACTCTGATCATTGGTCCTATATTAATTTTCAATTTTTCCATTATTCTCTATTCGTAAAACGGCAATTTCTTTCAACAAATTTTCCAAATCGAACCAAGCTCCAAACACGAAAATTAGCGTCGATTCTCAAAGATTGTTCGATGATTAGATTGCGCTTAAGTAAGCCGAAATCGAGTCAAAGGAGCGATTTACGTTTCACGGCTGAAATCGAAGTAATTCCGGCTTTCCTGAGCGTGCAAACAATAAAATTGGATTTAGCAACCCTCGGTCTCGCTCGCGTACGTGGCGTGCGACTTCGAAGGGTGAGTTTTCGGAAGGTGGACAAGCAGCACGGTTGTTCCGGGGGTTTGCGAGATCAAAGACACCCTCCGGGCAATTCCGTACTTTCCACGTGACATATTAGGTAGAAATTGACGGCGACAGACACGAACAACGACGTGCCTACTGAACTTTGATCATATCACCTGTGGGACTTGTTTCGACTCGTGAATATTATTATTCCGATAGATTCGTATTCGTTCCCTGTGATTATATTCACTATCTGAGCGAAAAAAAGAAAAGAAAAGAAAATGCTACAAGAGGAAAATTCTATTCAAAAAATTAATGCAGATTACAGTTATAAAATATATATTAATTTTCAATACTTCTATCTACCGATGCTATGCAGAGTAAGAATTGTAATTGAATTAATGACACTATTTTCCTAGAAAAGTATCATTATAGTGTCAATATAAAGAAGAAATAGTGAAAAAATTTATACGTACCCTCAGTTAGAAAAGAAGTATTATATACAATTTGCACAGAAACAAATTATAAATTGAATGAACTTTCTTGACAACGGTTTAAAACACTGTTCTTTATACACTTGCATGTACCTACATACGTGGAAGACAAAATTAAGTCAATAGTATTTTCCAAGGAAACGGTATCAATAAAGCTAGCAACTTGCTTTAAACTCTCTGCGACATCTGCACGGTAAAGGAAGAAGTTGTTGAAGGAAGCTGATAAGATCAATCTCTGCAACAGATAATTCTTCATTATTGATTATCATTGTTAACTCTTCAGTTTTCAACATTATCGATATCACACTGGTGCATTCAAAAATTGTAGGTAATTTAAAAAAAGGGAGTTTTCTATTTCATTAGTTTCACAGTTCATTATGAGATAGCACCAGTGGTACTAGTTTTGTGGAGCAATTTAATTTGCAGACTCGTGCATTCCACCACATTCCGCGCATCATAGTCTTCAACAATGAATCTGATTGATCTAATCGTAAGATTAATCTGATCGATTCCATAATGGAAATGAAAAATAATTATTCTATTTCAATAATCGCATCTATAAATGTTTCAATTTATCGATTATTGGTAATCAATGCTTGAACGAAAATATTTGATCACTACAGAAATAAAAAAAGGTGTAGAAATGATTAATTGGATAACTGTAAATTATAACGAGCTAAATAAATTATATTTTATCAAAACTTATTTTTTTTAAAGATAAAGAACTATTGCATAATATTATTACATAAGAAATAAAAACATATATTTATTGATTGAAAAAAGTTCCCCTGTTTCTATATCATACAGTTTGGATGTATTCTTAAAAACATAATAATGAGATGAATTGTAATAAATATCGGCAAAGTAGTCGGCTTATTTTATTCTATTTTATCACAAAAAATAAGCATCGATTACAAAATTAAAAAAAAAATGTTTCCGCCCGGGATCGAACCGGGGACCTTCCGCGTGTTAGGCGGATGTGATAACCACTACACCACGGAAACTGTTTGCGACATTTTCTTTTTATTATCACTTATACTTCTTATTTAATTTGATTTAATAAAAAATGTTATATAATATTTGACAAAAATGTAAATATGTTACTGAAAAATGGGTAATATTAATTAAACATATCATTACTGCAAATCTATGATGAAGTTAAATAAATCTAAAGTACTTCTCTCTACTAAACATGTATAGCATGATTTATGTTCAAATATTTTTCTCATTTTTTCTGCTACACTAAATTTATGGTAAATAAAAAACTAACTAAAATTAAACGAAAGTTCAGCTAAGTAACTACGAAGCTCTATTTTTTATTGTGACTTTATTTTTATCAATAAGATTATGCTCAAGGTATATGAAAAAATGATACTATATAGATACATGAATTGTGTAACTCTTTAAAAATTAATATATTGTCCTGGTCAACGTTTTTTAATAAGATAAACATTAATAAATAGATAGCATAAACCGTAAGTCAGAAGAAAAACGTAACTGATCGTTAGGTTAATCAGAACTCGTTTCGTAGCTCTATTATCTATTACCTATTATTACTTATTGTATTCCCTAACATTAAGCAAAGTCTTCTATTAAATTATTGTCGTATTAACTTCTACTAGAATCACTCAAATTGACCGAGAAGTATAGTGTCCCATATAACTAGGCTAAGCAATAGTTCTAAAATGGTAAAAGGTAGAAAAGAATGTCATTAGGAATAATTAAATGGCGTCAGATAGAGCATCGCTTGATGTATATAACAGTACCAGAAGTGGAGCAGTTCCAAAGATTTCAAAATCAACTTCATTTTTTTAAACAGAAATATATACTTTGTTATACATCAATTGAAGCGTTTTTTTTATTCTTTACAAAAAAGTATTAGGACAATTGGTTTAACCCAATTAGCTTAATGATTTTGGGTAAACTTTACCTCAGGGGCCCAAAAATTATGGCCTTTTCTTTCTATCTTCTTGAAGTATTTAGCGAGTAGAATCTAAAAATCCTAGTTTTAAGGCGCGGAATCCATCGGTTCCGAAGTTATACGTGTGTAAAGGTGAGCGTTTTTAGCGTATTTGACAGGTTATTCCCCGCATCCAATCCTTTGCCGACCACCAGTTGGACTCTATTTGTTGGGTGTGAGTACCATCAGTTCCTATCAAATCCGAGGGGATATTATTTATAAAAAAAAAATTAACCTTAGGTATACCGGGTTTAGGCCGCCACTTAAGTACATAATTCTGTTTTACCGACGGCGACTCCACTCATTGGACGACACCAGGTTACAAGTCAATATGGCGTCGAAGTAACATGTAAAATATGCTAAAAACGTTCAGTTTTACACACGTATAACTTCTGAACCGATGGATTCCGCGCCTTAAAACTAGGATTTTTAGATTCTACTCGTTAAATACTTCAAGAAGATAGAAAAAAAAGGCCATAATTTTTGGGGCCCCTGAGTTAAAGTTCAGTCATGATTTTTTATAGAGAATAACAAGAAACATAAAATAAGGTGTTCCAGGAGCACTGCTTCTCCTTTAACTCCTGTCTGACAATGAGATTTGAAACCAATTCAACTTCACAATGATAACACTGGCAATATTTACTAACATTTTGGCCATGTAATCGGGTAACAATTCCGGACAATGTGCGATAACGAATGCACGGTTCGACCTGGGGTACGATTCATGTCATTTGAAAATTTTAAACAGACAATAAAATATATGATAGATAGATGCTCATGCTAAAAACATTATAATGTTTAATAATAAACTCACATGAGATATTATTATATCAGTATATGTATATATGTATTTTATTTTTCATTCGATCCACTACCGCTGCGATGAAGTGTGGAATGATAAAAGGAGCAAAGTTATGACAGAATTAATTTCACATTTCACGGCGACCGATATCAATATATATATACATATATGTATTACGGGTGGGCTTAAAAATTAAATTTAACTAATTTTTATAATTTTGAACCTCAGTACGTGTGTCTGGTCGCCGTCAGGCGACCAGAATATCACTTTACCCTAACCTAACTTAATTCACTGATTAGGTAGAGTAGATTGGGTTAGGTTAGGCTATATTAAATTCCCAGCTGCCATTATAGCTACGATACATTGAAATCACGAATGCAGAAGTACATAAGGTATATATTGGTCATCGGTCGTCGTGCTGTTGCCTGCAGAAACAGTAGAAAAGCGGCGATCCCATACTAATGCGCCGATGGCCAGAACTAGCCAACTAGCCATACTAATAACACGGATGGCCAGAATTCAATGTGTTAGCCAAGGCCGAGCAGCGGTTATATGTATACAGGAAAAAGATGTTCAAAATGTCTAATTTTACATGATTAAATTTCATCAAAATCGGTGAGGTGTAACCTAATCTCAATAATTATCAAATATACTTTATGTTCGATATTCGGTATTATATTTCTTTCAAGATGTTAAACTATGTTTATATTATAACCTGCGATATTAAAAGAATGTGTTTGCGATAAGAGTTATTTCTATACTCTACAATTATGTAAAACAGTAAGGAATATAAGATTGTAATTTCGTCTGTTAATATTGATGTTTTGTTACAAATGAATACCAAGGAACAATGGATCAAACGTTACTTTATCAGTAATTCATTTATCTATAGTCGACACATTAGTGCCACACATAACTGCGCGCCGATACTAATGTTATTCGCATTATGGGAAACGATTTTGTCATTGTTATTCTCGTTCTTTTATTTTCCCCCATACCCTGATAAATTTCATTTGCCCAATAGAAATATGAAATTCGTGATTATAAGGAACGAAATCGTGACACCGAAATAATCAGTTTGTTTTTGTGCCGAGAACTTTTTACATATTATACCGAAAGATGTCACCACAATTACACTCTACCACGACCAAAGTCAATTCAACGATAACTCAACAAAATTATGCTCAATATTTTCAGGGAAGGAATATGAATAATTTCGTTTCTACTTCGGCAAAATTTATAAATGTATCACAATTTATGAATGTAACAGCGCAAACTATCATTTTCCTTATGCACTGTGAGAAAAGGAGAAGTTGCATCTCACGTGACAAACCTGTAACATTCTCATTGGTTGTTCGGTAAAATAGAATGAGAAGAAAAGAGAAAGAATCAGTCAAAGAATGAGTATAAATGCTAAAAACAGTCACTTGACAGTAGCGCTTTGTGGACGGCCGTCGAACGATTTGTCGATATTCCGTTTCATTACGTTCTCGAGAAACCTGTTAAAAGGGTGATTGCATGTCATCGTTGAATAACACCGTCGATAGGAAAGTAACAAAGAAATAACGTAATTGATTTTTACTCGTTTCTGTTGGTGCACTTATTCCAAAGAAATTAGAAAGTGAAACAGCAAAAATGAAGATTTGCATCGCGCTTTGCGCGATTCTTGTTGGTGCGTATTTAGATTATTCCCTACCTAACTGTACTCTTTTCTTTGTTCATACACGGCGTAGTTCTTTTATGTACAATATGCTATTCTTTTTTTAAATTCAAAGTACTATTACGTATATTGAATACAGCGTAACGTTTGCGCTACCATTTTTTAATTTTTATCAAAAAGATACGCAGTATTGTTATTGTATCTTGGAACATTAAAGAGATTACTTTGTTTAAGGAATAAGCTCTTGTTACAGATATTATCGTTTTATAAAATGGAAGAAGTTTTCGTACATTGCTGCATCTAACTATCACATTGTCATTAGTCACAAAAGATAGGAATTGCTTATTCAGATGAATGAGATGAGTCAGTAGTCAACAATTATGTATATACATACTGTTGAATAGTTTGTCACGAACAGGATATTCCTAAGCCTGCATTCACAATTTTCTTAACTGTACATCTTATTTCAAATAAAATTATTTATTGAAATCCACTGTTTTTTGTACTTTATTATTAGCTAATATGATTTGAAAAACAAGTTTTATTTGTATTTGTATTCAGCATCTCTCTATAGATGTATAATGTCACATGATATTTCTACTATTTTAGAATATTATAGCATTGTATGCTCTAATATGTAATAAATATTAGTAATATCATTTATTTCAGTGTCCACAGCAAGAGTAATAATTAATGCTGATGATCCAACTGATCATCATCTTCTAGGTGAAGAAGAATGCACATGGGGACCTTCATATTGGTGTGAAAATATTAAGTAAGTTTTAAAATGTATACAACCAAATATGGGAAGATTTTTATTTTGTATTGTATCAAATATATTTTATTTTTGTAGTATATTAACATTGTAATATATTATTGAAATATTAATGTCCCTGTATAAAATGTTAAATTCTATAATTTAGATATAATGGTGTATAAATTAAAATGACTATTTTGTTATTTTTATATTATACATAAGATAATATGATTGTAAATAGAAATAGTACTAAAGCATTTTATCCAAAACTAATACAGAACAGCAGCAGGATGTAATGCAACTAAACACTGTATTAAAACAACATGGAAAGATATGCAAGTACCAGAAGATAATGACAGTGTTTGTACCATTTGCAAAGATATGGTTCAAGAAGCTCGCGATCAGTTAGAAAGCAATCAAACACAGCAAGATTTGAAAGCTGTTTTTGAAGGAAGTTGCAAACTGATTCATATAAAACCAATTATACACGAATGTGTGTCAATTGTAGATCAGTTTATTCCAGAGCTTGTTGAAACATTGGCATCACAAATGAATCCATCTGTTGTTTGTTCTGTTTCTGGACTTTGCAATTCTGCTCGTATAGATCAGCTACTACAAAAATATGAACAGTCCAAACCAAAGGTAATTATAATATGAAATTTCGAACTTTCTAATTAAATAGTTCAATTTAAGTGTTTTACTAACAGATATGCTTGTATAAAAATTGGTATTTCGTAATAAATAAAATAAATAAATCTTCAATAATTTATTATTCTCAGTAATTGTAGAATTTATATTAAGTACCATATTGTAATTTTATATACTAAAATGTATTAAACGGTTATAATGTATTACATTTTAGATCGATAAAGTAAAATCTCGTTCTTTGGACAAAGACGAATTAGAACCTGATGAATGTTCAAAATGTTATACAGTTGCAACACACATGGAACAAAAGATACATAAGACTCCACAGGACAAAATTTTACGACAAATGCTTAATCTATGTGCAGAACTTGGTACCTTTACAGATGCTTGTTCCGCGACAATTTTAACTTACTTTGATACAATATATAGTCACTTACAAAAAAATTTCAATGCTCCAAATATATGTCACTTATCTGGTCAGTGCAGTGATAAATTCCACACACATGAGGACACTGATAAGGTAAATTTATATAAACAATGTGAATGTATAATATAACAACATACGAAAAATTATAATTAATTAATTTACATTCCATATATTTTAGACCCCGAAAGTAGAAATCAGACCATTGTCTAGTGTGGGTATGGTTGATGTAGGTATCGATCTTCCATGTAAATTATGCGAACAACTTGTTGGACATTTAAGAGATCTTTTGGTAGCTAATACCACAGAAGCAGAATTTCTAGTAGTTTTGCAAGGATTATGCAAAGAAACTAAATCGTTCTCTAGCGAAGTAAGTATTTTAATATTTATCTATATATGTATGCATATATTTATTTATTTATACGATAATTTATTAATAATGTATGTAATTTTTATTTAAGTGTACTGCAATCGTCGATGAATATTATCCACAAATCTATGAATATCTCACAAACGAGTTAGATAGTAACTTTGTTTGCCAATTAAGTGGAATATGCCCTGGTCCTGATAGACCAATAGATGTTAGTACTTTTTTTAGATAGCACTATATATGTATATACATATAGTATGCAAAGGATAATAACCTAACATTTTACATTGTACAGGAAGCACCAATTTGGCCTTTAGTGCCTAAGGAGGCAGCTAAAACAGGTATACGTATTTTAAAAGATGCAAACAAGGAATTGGAAAAACAAAATACAGAACTCAGTAAATCCGAAGTAGAGTCAATGCAATTACCTATTGAAAGATTATCACCTTTCCCGATCTCAGAAGGTCCGCTAGGCGTTACTGGGAAAGAAACCTGTGCGTTGTGCGAGTATATCTTACATTATATCCAAGAAACTATGACAAATCCTACTACAGAGGTAAGAGTGATGGAAATATAGTGTTGCGACAAAAGCTGACCGTGATACTGCCTTAAAAGTTGGACTTCGTGAAACAAAAATGTTGAAAGCAAGAAATAATGCTGTATTAAATAAAATATATTTTTGTTATTGTGCAGGATAAATTAAAACAAGCATTAGAAAAGGTGTGTACCAAGCTACCGGGATCTATAAAGGATGAATGTACAGAATTTGTAGATAGTTACGGAGACGCTATTGTGGCTATATTAGTTCAAGAAATTGATCCATCACAAGTTCGTATCTACAATTTATTATACGCCATTTGTATAAACTTAGTAAACTAATTATGTTAATTTCAGGTATGCCCCATGTTGCGGCTATGTCCCTCTGAAAGATTAATGAAACTTTGGGAAAGTGTTCCAGCAAAGTATGTGCTCAAAGAAGAACAGAATGATAAGCCTAGTTGTCCACTGTGCTTACTTGCTGTGACGCAAATTTATGAAGTTATAAAAAATAACAAAACTGAGGTTAATAACATAATTTTTTCGTTTTAAACATTGTAAAATGTAGTAGCACTAAAAGTGTATGTTTTATTACAGGCAAATATAGAAGATCAGCTGAATAAATTATGCTTTCATTTGCCAGAAAGTTTATCGGAACAATGCACAGATTTTGTGAAAGGTTACAGTAAAGAGCTTATAGAATTGTTACTTGCAGATTTAACACCTCAAGAAGTATGCGTGTACATTAAATTATGTGATGATACGAAAAATATTGGCCCAAGGGATGCATTCGTTACCGACAAAGATGGCGAAATTAGTGCGTATACCTTTATATTTTATTTGTTAAACATGGTATTAAATGTATAGGATTTCTATGATATTTAAATAAAATTATTACTTTTCGCTTCAGTGACAAATGAGATACCGGATACATCAATAAGTACTAAAGTTGGTGACGGAGGTACGTTTTGTGTTGTTTGCGAATTCGCTATGCACTATGTCGACAAAGAACTTGGCAATGAAAAGGAAAAGCATAAAGTTGAAAGGGTAATTCGTGGTGTTTGTAATCATCTTCCAAATACCATTTCCCGAGAATGTAATGATTTTGTTACCCGTTATGCCGATGCTCTAATCGATGTTATTTCGAAAGATGTTAGCCCTAAGCAAGCTTGTTCGATGATCGGTCTTTGTTCATTCTATGAAAAGAAAATGAAAGGTATTTTCTTACATTTAACTTTTACACTTAATGTATATTCACAATAAAAGTTTTATATTTTCTTTTCCCTCGTGTTTATAGAATCTGTAACAGAGTGTGCTTTGTGCAAGTCAATTATATCAGTGGTCGACGAACTCTTGGATAATCCTACAGTTGATGGCGACATTAAGCAAACAGTATCGAAAGTTTGTAAATACATACCAGCGAGTAAACAGAACAAGGTAATTTGTTATTAATATCTAGTTATTTATATCGTTTACCTGACTTTATATAGTTACTGAATTCCTTTCAATAATAATTACAGTGTGTCTCACTGATGAATATCTATGGACAAAGTATCATAAATCTGATCAAACGTCGTGAAAATATGAATAAAATATGCAGTCTAATAGCTGTTTGTCCACCTAATGATTATACATCAGTTGCTTTGGAAAATGCACGAATTAAACGATCGTACGAGAAAAATCGTATAAAGCATTGTACATGGGGACCAGTTTACTGGTGTTCTACCAATGAAACAGCTCGCGAATGTAAAGTAAGTGGACGTAATTTAAATGCACTATACGTAAATAATTTGCAACTTATATGCGTATGTACTTATTTCTTTTTCTTTGAAGGCTGTTGAACATTGCAAAGAAAACGTGTGGAAAGCTGATTTTGCTCCTCCAAAACAGATCACTTTGAGCGAAGCAGAACCCAATGTTTAACTTTGTAATAAAAAAATAAATTGAACTATTTCCCGATACCAATATTCTTACATCTTTAAAATGTTTGATCTTATGAATTTCATGTTTCTTTATGATATTATACAAATAATTATTAGAAGTTTAATATTCATTTTTTAGGATAACGATGCACTATTCTATTAAGATATAAAAATGTGATAGCACTGTTAAAAATTTAAAAAATGATGTTTAATCGAAAATTATATATGTAGTCTCGGAAATATAGATGTAAGCGTAAAAGATAAGCTTTTTACACTGTCACAGACATATTGCCTTCGTATTGTTGAATTAAGTTCATATTTTGTAATAATTACTGTAATTACGAAACCTATAATATTAAAATATATAACTCATATTCTTATGTATATGTACATTTCTTAGTAATTAATAATATATTTCTTATTAAGAATTTGTTGCATTAATGTTAATTGTAATAATAAAATAAAAAATGGTATGAAAATTAATTTACTCTTTTATACTTTATACTATCACCTATATACCTTTTTTTATTAGTGGTTTAAGAGTAAGCGGTTAATTATTTTTGACTTTATTTGAGAATGATGTCAATTATTCTACAAAAGTTTACTTAAATGTAAATAACTTGGCTTTTTTTAATGTTAATTGTAGCATGGTTTTTAATAGTTTCAAATTTAAATAATTTTCGTAACGTAAACCGTTCTATTAGTTCCGGAAGTTCAAGATGTCGCACTTATCGCGTTCGATTTTAATCGATTAGTCGCACCGGTTTCGATAGATCTTGCTAAATTGAACCGGCGTCCTCAGTGCACCGTAGTTTCATCATTCGAGGAAAAATAGTGTTTTAAAGGTAAAATTATGTTATAACATTTCATAGATACTATTATTATCATGTTAAAAGTGAAATCACTTCAGTTTGACGTTTAAATGTAATTAATATGTTGTATTTTCTTCTAGATCCTCTAATAACAAGTCTGCTAATAACTGAGCAACTCACCAACGGTATCGAGGAAGGAAGTGCCCTTTGGATCTTCCTGCTGGTGAGTCTTGCCCCATTTTTCTGATTTCTAATCTCGTTATAGAATGACACATTTATATGTCTCACAAAACATATACCTACGACCTTTAGTTGCAAGGTGTTTATTTCTTGTACAGTATCAAGTAAAGTAGGATTCTCTAGTAAAAATGGCGTTACAGCCGAAGCAGTAATTTTCAAACTCTTAATTTTGACGATGTTGAATGATTGAACATTATAAAATTTGGTACAGAAGGAAGAAATATGAATAGTAACATAAATATCAATTCAAATTCTTTCAAACTCTTTCTTCACTTTCCTTGGTGAAGCTTACTATACTCAATACTGTAAGTAAATACGTAATTTGACATACGAAATGGATCATCAAATTATGAGTACTATATATTAAGTGTGTATTATTAAGTTAATAATATGTACAAAGTATGTAAAATAATTCATTTTGTGAATTTTATTTTATTTCAATTTTTAATAAGTTGATAAGCGATAAAGTAGAAACTAAATTACAATCGGTATAAAGAAGCAGTCAGTAAAAAACACGGGGGTAACAAACCAATCTACCAATTGGTAATACCTATATAGAATTACGTATTACGTTCATAGATGGCACAGTCTGTTCCATGATTGCACCTTTTCATAAATATCAATGTACTCGAACCAAAATTAGAGATTACAGTTTTAAAAGGACACTAAAGAGTGTAGCATATATTATTGAATTAAAAATCTGAGTTTTTAGTAGACGTGTAATTATGCATTTTATTTTCTGTATATGCAGATATACATAGATTACATGTGTACTTTTATTTGATTAATTATTAGGGGGATAAGAACCACTGATTAAAATTAGCAAATACCTAAATATTATAGAACATAAAAATATTTTATTCTCTCCTAATTATTTATTTAAACCAATACAAACGTATAGGGCAAATTTGAGTTCCTGCCAACAAATGTAGTGTTATAGTTACATATTAGATTTGCATTAATAATTCCTTGGGTATTTGATAAATATAAAAATTCTATTGTTTTGCAAGAGTGTATGATATACCTACTTACGTGTTGAGAATGGTCAAGATTTTCGTGTCAAAGGGATTCCGCGTAGGTGTCAAACTTGTCTCCGGTGAGAGAAACTCGTAGTGTTAGGCTGAATTTTACCGATCCTCGTCGTACGTTCCTTAAATTTATTCGAGCCCCAGTCTAGTCGTTTGTAGAGATGTTGCTACGATATCGTAACGACAATACCGTTCTCGTTGTGCACAGTTTCCAGAACACAGGGTACTGTAGTACTTGTCTGGGTCTTTCGAGGAGAAAATAGTTTTCGAATAAGCCGATTCGTTGTAGCGTGGATCGCGTGCCATCCATTTTCAGTCGTGTGTAGATAGAAATTTAAAAATCAATTTTTCTCCAATGAAAGTAGAATAAAAAATTTTCTTTCTAATCGTAGAACTTTCTTTCTGTGAAACTGAAAATTTTAAAGCTATAGGAGCAGATATTGTAAAGTAGCTCTTCATTGATAAATTTTTGTAATTATTTTTTAATAAATTAAAAATTATATTTAACTTCTTAAGGTTCTTATACCATCAGTATTTAGTTAAATAAATTAACTAAAACAAAGAAGAAAATTGTGAGTAGCATAAATATTCCAAAATTAAATCAAAGTATTATGATTTTAATTCTGAAACTCTCGAGTACCATAAATTGAAAAGAAATCTCTCAAGTTTATTACACAATTACTATCACCATGGAACTTAACGCGTTAACTATAGACGTCACGGTTTTCTGAGATAATTAACCATTTACCTGGAACTTGTCTGGCAATGAGCCGTGAATATAGGACATACGTATACACGTTTGAGATTCGTCCCGCCTTATCCTCTTCTTCCGGTGAAAACTGGCGAAATGAGGAAGAGAAGGAAGAGGAAGGGAAGCTCGAGTCGTCTTGTTCAGCACGTAGAGGCGTGACGAGCCAAGACATAAACCTGCCTGCCGGTCATGAAGGAAGGCATGACGACTGCTTGTTATTTGTGTACGTACCTGAAGAACGTACGATGCTTGTGTCTTGTTCGATGATTGCCGAGTATTTATGAGTTTATTATCACTCGGCGAACAATAGAGGTAGAAAAATGACGAAGAACGAAGAGCAATGCTCTATCTTCCACATTATTTATTTAATAGAATAATTTTTAACTATGACACGGTTAAATGATTCATTTGTGCATCAAATAGAAATACAATCGATTATAATTAAAGAACTTACTGACAATAAGAGACCTAATGAATTCATCTAAATTAATTACCGCCTGTGACATCAATTCTGCCAAGGGATAATTATCAGCTTTAGGGGTTAATAGAAGGCATTGTTCATCTTCCTATTAAATTAGATAAAGGAAGTTCTACTGATATATAATCTAGTTCAACTTAAGTTTCTTTTAATCAAGTAGAAGCGAAAACGATTATCTTAGGCTTTCCCTGGCTTTTCCGGCTCTTCTTAGGCTCTTCTAAAATTCCCCCAGATTGAAAGCAAATGGAACTTGCATTGCCCCTGAGTCTACATCAATAGTCGAGGAAGTCGATGGTTCATCCGTGGTAGGAGTGACGAGGCCGTCTCGTAAGTTTCGTTCGAGGCAGCCGGGTTCAGCTTTCAATGGCAGATAAATATCGGGAGGTCCTTGCACCTCTTCTTACCGCGTTGGAGGAACGTTCGAGTTTTCTTCGAAGTTGCGTGTGCTGTAACGTGCGGGTGTTTGCCCACGCACGTGCGGTGGCCCACGCGATTCTTAATACGAACCGCGTCAGCTGCGTAAAGAGCCTTAGGCTGGCCAGCGTATACGTGTGTGGGATAGTCGTGTACACCCCCGTAGCCTTTGTCCAGCAGGATAATTGTCCACGCGCCGGGTATCGGTGTGATATTGGTGTCGGATTCTGCCACACCTTCGCCCATTGTAAATCAATCGGTGCTCTTCGATGTAGAAGAATCAAGCTCTCTTCGAGTATGCTTTCTACGTGTTTCCGTAGGACTCTGTTGTTATGAATGAAGTGTGGTGATTTCAGAATTATTCTTGGAATTAGTTCATTTTTAATTGTTAGAAATATAGATACAGCTTTATATTATCAATTTCATGGCAATAGTACTTGTAATCTTCTAAGTTTTCAATATTAAAGGCTTCTAGGTGTAAGTCACTTTCTGAAGGGAATGAAGAATTTATTGTTTTAATAATGATCATTTTTTAAATTATTTTTTTAAGTTAGATTTTATGTTGTAAATCTATTTATTCGAAATTTTCATGGTCAGGCAGAAGATAAAACTTTGATGTTGTTCCAGTTGGAACTTTTATGCAATTCAAAACTTTTGGTACATTTAGTATCTCTCCTAGTGGTGAAAATATAAGTGTAAACCAACAGAAATTTGCAATTTTTCACCGATTCACAGAGTTTCATGCAATACTTTATTTTAATCCCAAGTTCTATAATTTTATAGAATTTAGAAATGCAAGTACCTCTAAAGACGCTTTATCACTTCTTTCCTCAAACATGGAAAATTCAGCTTATAGAAGGTAAACGTTGAATCAATGTTTCTCCTCAAGTCGTCTACTTATCCGAAATTCCCATGCGACCTGGTGAACGCAAGTAAACACCATCGTATCTCAAGCTTCAGCTCGCGAGGAACCATAAAACCGTTCTAGTCGCGCCCATCGGAATCCACAGATTTACGAGCGTCACCGTCGTGCTTGTTCGAAAAGTTTCGCGAGATTTTATCAGGAATTTCTGCCTCGATGTCCATACGTCATGAACTCTATTTTTTTTTTTCTTTTTATCCGTTCAACCCCGTATTCCGTCGTGTAATCTCGCCGGTTAATCCGGCCGCGGGCGCTTCCGCTTTTCGTACCGTTTACAGGATGCATACAGTCCGAAACCGCGGCAGGGTGCATATGTAATTAATTTTTCGCGTTAAGCATGCCCTTTCGTACGTGTGTGCGCGATACGCCATCGTTCACGAATCTTTGCCCGGAGACCGTTTCATCGTATCGAGGGCCGTGTTTCGCGTTCACCGGAGAAATTCGAAATTGGAAAACGGCCGGTCCAGAACCGGCGAAATTAATTGAAGTCTGAGTGGCGAGCGATGAAGGGGCTGAGGTAGCGGCCGTTCGTACGGAAAGAGGTAAACCCGGAAGCAAGGGTGAAACAGAGCGAGAAAGGAACGACTAGGGTGGGACACCGGGGGGAGGAAAAAGAGCACTCCTAGCGTTCGTGTCGCGAGAGAGATGGAAAAAGGGAGGACCGATTGCGGAACTTGGCGAGGACAGGCTGGACAGGGTGCTTCAGCGGAATCGGGTCGTCTAATAGCC